TCAACTCATAGCGACCTTGTATACAGTTTCCAAGGAGTGGCTGGTGGACCTTGCAGTCCAGCGCATTAACCCACAGCACCACACCAGGACTCCCAAGATCATAGAGTTAGTGAAAAAAAAACAAACAATCTTTTAACATCTAATCCAGGGCTTTTCTCAACATCTTGGCTGCCATAAAGATGCCCCCAAATGTCTCTCCTTGTTGTACAACTGAAAAGCACCAGTCTGGAAATCTCAGGAGGTAGGAAAAGCAGGCTCAGGGGTTGAGGCATGGGCTATGGAAACTGCACTGGGACACTGTTAGAGCTGCATTTATTTCTTTTTGTCTTTCAAAAGAAAACCTCAACCACTAAAGTGCACAGAGTCGAAAACTCCAATGGCCTCATGAGCATAAAAATAAATTAATTCCAGTATTCAAATTAAGCATCCCTGTTGGCCTCTGGCCTTTCAAAAGCCAACAACAGACTGCAATGACAATGGGACTTGAACAATTATGATGAGAATATAAATGAACATGATTTAAATACCAGAGGCATGATCATTTTGGGAATGGCTAAATAAACCTAATAATCTCATTCCTGCAATGTCCAATTATGGTATTTTAATTAAAACCTCCTAAGGAGATGGGCTGCTAGTCATGGCTTACCTTAATTATCTTCATACTTAGTAACTAGTCCCAAATTAAAAAAAAAGGAAGATGTAGTATGGGGAAAGTTTCTGGTTTCCAGGGAGATAAACCTATTTCATTTTAATAATAAATGAGGAAGTGTTTATTGAGAGGCCATCAGGCCCAGCACTGTTCTAGTAACTGGGGCACCTGAAAAAAAAAAATCAGATGTAGGTACTTATCACTAAGAAGACAAGATTCATCTTTATGGAAACACATCTCCCCTTCACAAAGCAGACAGACGTGAAATGGATGAACAACTATTGGAGGTTAGTAGATGTTCAAAAGGTCAAATATTTAACCAACAACCCTTAAATTGCAAATTGTGGCCTAAAGAAACTCTTTCCCATTAAGGGTCCAGGAAAGTAACACATGGAGGAGAAATACAGGCCTTTCCACCCAGAAACAAGTCCTTTAGGGTGAGGGTAAAAAGAAGAAAAAAAAAATCTTGCAATATCTATAACGTGGTGAGTAACTGGTTAAGGTGGAAATTTTTCCTGTCTGTTCTCATCACCAACTCTCATAAAGTTCACATCTATCCCAGGCAGCAAGACCCAGAACCGTGTGCCACAGACTTTTCTATACTTAGGACCCTTTGCTTTCTTCTTGAAACAACAAAAGTTTACAAAGCTATTCTTTTAGCATGAACAATAAGAAGGCAAAAGGTCAAGTTGTATAAGAGAGAAAAACATGTTAATAGAAAATACAGACTTTTTTTTCTCTTAACCCTTGTGAAAAAGTCTCAATTGTTTCCCTAGAGGAAGAAAACAATGCCTTCAACTGGAAGAATACAATTGACAGAGGAGATGGATTTTGCCTTAAGTGTGCTGCTAGCAAATTTCTGGGTTAGCTGGACAGATAAGGTATCCATATCCAGGGTTTTTGGGGAAAAGAGAATGGGCTCCAGACAGCTGGATTTAATTCAAAGGAGATATCAGGGACTTGGGCAAGCAGGGCCCTCACAGGCTAAGCGAGATAAAGCTCTTTGCCCTCTCTGTAGTCATGTGTTTGAAGAATTTCTCAATACATTAAGGGCCCAGTGAGGTTTTCTTAGATGCCTTGACAAGGCTGGTGATGAAGCTACACACATGGCTGTTGATGAAGTTAAACACAGGGATGGCTTAACTGGGGCTCGATCCTTCGCTTCTCTGAAGCAGATGACCTCTATTTTTCAGAAGTTCCTCCTTTCTCGACTGAAGTCTCCTTTCTGTGAGGTGTTTAGGGGAATAGCTTGAATGAGGCACTTTCGTAGTTTTTTTCAGCTTCAATCACCCACAAAAACAAAGAGAAAAAAAAAAATCTAACCAGTTATCATTAAGTTGACTCTGACTTGCTGTGACCCCATGTGTATAGAATAGAAGTGCATTCCACAGAGTTTTCCAGACTGTTCCCATTCAAAAGCAGATCACCAAGCCTGTCTTCCAAAATGCCTCTGGGTGGGTTCAAACTGCCAACATTTCTGTCAGTACTTGAGTGATTTCCCAATTGTGTCTCCCAGGGACTCCAAAACAACCACAATCAGGTCCCTTCCAAGCAGCCTCCTGGGTTTATTTAGGTGCTTTGCTTGATTCTTGGCAATGGGATGGGGCCTATATGCCTGGAGGTGTGAGTGGGATGATCGAGATGGAAAAAGAGGAGGCTTTTTTTGACTTCCTTTTCTCAGGGAATCAGAGATTGACCACTGTGTAACACCCTCTTACACAACCTCATATAGTCCCCTTAAACATGACTAAAAAGGCAGTGCTTTTGGAGGGTGGGTTCCTCCAGCAGCCCACCAGTGGAGCTGGTGTTCTATTCATTATGGGCCTTCTATAATGATACTCCCTGACCATTAATTATATCTGACTTGATCTTTTCAGAAAGTAAGCCCTCAGGACATTCTAATTTTCCACCCATAGCAGCTTGATAAGGATTCTTGGTGGCACAACAGTGCAGTACTCAGCTGCTATTTGAAAGGTTGACAGTTCCAACACCCCATCCACTCCTCAGGAGAAATATGTGGCTGTCTGTTCTCGGAAAGATACAGCCTTGGAAACCCTATGGAGTAGTGTGACTGTCCTATAGGGTCTCTGTGTGTTAGACTCAACTTGATGGCTATGGGTATTTCTTAATTTTTTGACAACTTGATAATACATTTAAAGAGTCAGTTGTGCACAAAAGTCCCCATTTCTCACTCCCCTAAATTCAGACCCAGATGAGAGGGTGGAGACATGAATATGCATGCCTATTCATATCCGGGAGTCTGTGGCCTAAATTCTTATGTCCTCAAGAGACACCTGGCTTTGTATTAAGAAGTTTTGAGGACCATCCTAAGCTAAGGTTAATTGCTGTAAACAGGAGAGATAATGAAAATGCCCTATGGAACTACTAGCCCTCCTGCAAGACTGAGGCATTGCAAAGGAGGGAGATTTGGAGAAATCAGGAAGGTCAGCCCGGATTCTCATGGGTTTGGGATCCTGACTGTTGTTGGATAGGTGATGTCTTTTCACTCCTTGGATGGGAAGGCGCTTTTGTGGTGAAGTGGCATTCATGTTTGCATACGGCATTGAACTTGGCACCCACCTATAATGATGTGTTTTAACATTCTCTCTAATTAGTTTTTCTCAGTAGCTCTTGGATGATTCCTGCACTCTATAATTATTTCTTTCACTGGCACTTATGCCGATATTGTACCCTTTGCCTAATAATTACTGTAATTATTGTCACTATATTTGAATCTGGTGCCTGTGTGATAAACGGTTTTATTCCATGTGTTTGATGGCAAGTGATTTCTAAGTGGGAGTCTAGGAAGTTATCGAGGTATTGCTCAGAGGCATTTGTTAAAATGTTCCTGGATAACAAATAACTTGATGAAGTTAACCACATGACAGGAGACGTCAGCAGAGAGCTGGCTGACGCTGAATTCAAGGAATTTTCTTGCATGTTGCAAATGTAGTCTCAAAACAGAAGACGATCTTGCACTCCCGGCAGTCTGTGGGCTGCTGGTACATGCTGAGCTCCATGAAGAGGCAGCAGTGAAGAGATGGAGAGGAGGTACCGGTCCCTATAGGAGCTCCCTATGTTCTGGTCCCTCCTGCCTTCCCCCTCCAAGTCTGCTGAGGAATGCCTCAACTGAAAGTTTATCTTTTCAACTTATTATCTGCAAATTTTTTTTTCAGAGTTGTAGATATGTTCAACCATCATTCTTGGTTGCTAGTTGTGTCTGAGTGGATTCTGACTCTTGTTGACTCCAGGTGTGTCAGAGGAGAACTATATTCCATAGGGTTTTCAAGGCTGTGAATCTTTGCAAACAGATTTCCAGGCCCATGTTCTGAGGAATCTCTAGTTGGGTTTCAACTTCCAACTTTCAGTTAGTAGTCTAGTGCTTAACTGTTTGAGCTACCCCGTGACACATCACTTTCCCCACTACCTCTAATAGTCCCTCTGAATGCTTTTTTCTTAACAAATGAAGGCATTGACTCTACTTTTTGGCCACCAGACAAGAAAAGACCTGGTGGGAGCTAAGGATGCACATGAAAAATGAAATTGAGAAAGCAAGCAAAATCCAGGGAGCAGTTTCAAAGCTAGGTCCTAGGGAAGTTTCTCAGCTAACCTAGGGTAACCCAGCCAGCTCCCATCCCTAGGGATCTGAGTTGCCTTCAGTTATGTGTGTCTGTGTGGTTCTGTTTTCTGTACTATGTAGAAAAGCTGTGCTTCTATTTTCTATTACACTTCAATTACCCACAGATCAAACTTACGTGTTTGCTCAGCACGTTTTGTGGGCCCACTGAACTCTAATAATTAAGCTCCACTTATTTAGGGCTTACCAAGAGCGGTGTAGTATGCTAAATGCTTTAGATGCATTATTTCATTTAATCCTCCCACCAGTCCCTTGAGTTTTGGACTATTATTATTTCCATTTTGCAGACAAGAGGTAACTTGCCAAAGTCACATAGTTAGTAAGGGGCAGAGCTAGGCTTTACAGCCAAGTCCCCAACTCCAAGCCTGCATTATTGGGTCTCCCAATTGCTGTGAGCAATTAGATGACTGGAACTTATTTAGCAAATGCTAAAATGCTTCTATTATACGGGTTTCCACATTACATGTAACTCAACAATGTTAGGTTTCTTAGCATCAGTGGATGGTGGGGCTTAACAGGAAGTGATTCATGAGTTTCATAGGCATTTCCTTTATCAGATGACATGAGTTTCTTTCGTCTAACCCCCTGAATCACTCCGGAGTTCTTTAAATGACTCTAGAGTATGAGGTCACACTCTGGGTTGGGATTGTGCTAAAGACACACATGGGGTGATCATAGCACAGGCTGGGACAGAAAGGTGAGAGGCAGCCTCACCTGGGCATACATACTCCTTCTTCTGCACATCTGCCACATTGAAACCCCTCAGGTGCACAGGAGCCATGCAGAGCGTGAACTGGCCAATTGTCCGCCGTTGTCGTAGCCAATCAGAGAGCCAGGCCAGGTGGCAGTCACAGTACAGGTGATTGGAGTGGAGGCGCCTGAGAGAGAGCAGAGAGAGACTAGAATGAGGAGTCTGGAATTGGCCATACAGAGTGGGCCGAACCTCTATGTCCCTTCCCCTAGTGTGGTCATCCTCATGAGCTCAGGAAAGCATCTCCCTCCTCACTGCTTACTTACTACTGTATAATCCCCAACCCTTCTATTGCCACTCTGCAAATTACAGTTATCTTCACATGCAGACCACATCCAATGGATGTCTCCAGGGTTTCTATGTGATCCACCCAAAGAAGTCTTTCAGCACATAGGAGAGGGAGAACGATGTTATTACAGTAACAATCCTGACTTGAACCAAACTCACAAAGGGGTGTCTCCTTTGCAAATGTCAGGACTTTAGCTAGCATGAGTTACGGATAGCTTGAAACATACCTCAATACCTCAGTCTGTGATGAGACCTTAAATTCTTTACTTCCCCTTGTCCATTGCCACCCTAAATACCCCTTTAATGAACTGTTGTTGTTAAGTGTTGTCAGATCGGTTCTACCTCATAGTGACCCTGTATAAGGCTTCTGAGGTTGTACATCTTTGCGGGAGCAGACAGCCTCATCTTTTTCCCACACAGCTGCTGGATTTGAACTACTAACCTTGCAGCTAGCAGCCCAACGTGTAATCCACTATGCTAACACGGCTCCTTGCCTATGATGCTAGTGGGCCAATACTACTTCTGTACAAAATCTAGGCTGAGTAGGTGACAGAGAGAAAGGCACTTTTTAGAGAATGCACCTTCTCATTCGTCTCCTATCTAAAAAAAGGTATTGTCCATACCAGACTCTTGTAATATGCATCCACTCCTCACTTATCAACATAGTTAGTATCTAAACACCAGGTCATAAACCGTAAATCAACGTTATGGGAAAATGGAGAATGAACATATCATTAGATAATTACCATACTATATCATTACACAACTGTCAAATTTCATCACTGCATAACTGCCCAATTACATCATTGCATAACTGCCAAATCACATAACAGCCAAACCGCTGAAAATCAGGGCCCAGCCAACTTGACATGTAACCTTAACCACCACAGTCAGCACCTTGCACCTAAGCATTCATTGCTGCCAAGCATACATCATTATGCACAAAATAGCTGGACAGTAGATTTTTACTACTGTCACAGAAGTGAACTGTCAGATAGCAAGATAGTAAGTAATGAGTAGGCACACAACCTATACTCCCTATAGTGTTTTCCCTCTCCAAGGTCAGTTCCACCTGGAACATTTGCTATTCTGACTGGTTCACATGCATCTCAATAGACTTCCCAAACAATTCCAGGACTCTGGTTTTCCCACTTTAGGAGTGGTGGCTCTAAGTTGATTTTTTTTTTTTTTTTTGACCCTGAATGAATAAGGTCTGACTTTCATAAAGGGATGCATGCCACACTTTGAATGGAATCCCATCTGGTTAAATGACTTAAATGTCCTTTTCCACTAAGTGGGAGGTAAACTAAGGATAAATAGGGACTTCTCAGTTATTCCACAAGGTCTCTCTATTAGATTTCTAAAAATGTTTCCAACCTTCCCATTCCCTACAACCCTAGGTCTTTAGTAGTGGCAGTAGGTGAGGTTTGGTCTTATAAAAAATATATTATAGTTGCTGTTAAGTTGCCTCTGATTCTTGATGACCCTATGTGTGTCAACTGTGACCTATAGAGTTTTTTGGAGCTGATTCAGTAGCCTTTCTTCTGAGGTGCTCCTGGTGGGCTTGAACCTTCAACCTTTTGGTTAGCAGCCAAGTGCACTAACCATTCGCACCTTCTAGGGACTCCTTAGTCATGTCGACTCATCATGTACTTAAGTTTCGGATACAAATTTCAAGCACCCAGCCCTGGACACGTTAATCAGCTAGGCGTATCTTGGGATTTTCAAGTATCAGTGTCAAGCCAGTTAATACTGATTGGCAGCCTGAACGAGTGGCTCAGGCTACCTCCATCCCTGGAATGGAGAGCACTGAAGGGCTCTTGACCGCACTCCACTTAGCATATAAGGTCAACACAGCTAAACACAGGCCAAGTGCAGCTCACTTGTGTTGCGTGCCAGCAGAGCCTGTCTGAAGCTGTGTGGATGCAAATTCGGGCCCACCAGGGACACTGGGTGTCTTGTCTGCTTCAGGTGTTCTCACTCCAGGAAGCCCCACACCCCCCTTTCATATCAGACATACTCTAGGAACCTGCATCCTATGTAAAATGTAGGGTTGTTTTGTTTTCCTTGCTGGAAAATATTTTATGATTGTGTTTTAAAATTAATTTTCATTTTGCATTTCAGAGCCAAGTTTAAGGGTGGACACATTTTCATGGACCCTTGAGAAGATCCGAGGACTGAGATGCTATACGACTCTAGCACGTGCTTTTACCTTCTCAGCTCACTTGCCCCAGCACTGCTGAGGCAAGAAGGCTTCTTTTTAGCCTGGCACTCCAGAAAGAGGTGGAGCTGGGGGAGGGCAGAGAGGAGAGAGGGGGAGGAAAGAATAAAATCTTAACATAGTAACAAGTTCTAAGAGGGAAAGCAAGACCTCTAGGCTCTATTTATTTAATAAGTATGACCACTTTGTGCCAAGAACAGAAGCGGCCTGGTGGTAGATTTTTAGCTTGGTACCAATTAACTAGGAGCTCTTGTAGCATAGTGGTTACGAGCTGGGCTTGCTAACCTCAAGGTCAGCAGTTCGAAACTACCAGTGGTTTTGTGGGAGAAAGATGAGGCTTTCTGCTCCCGTAAAGATTTACAGCCTCAGAAACCCTGTACAGGGTCAACAGCATGGCACACCACCACCACCAATTAAGTAATTACTGATAAATTGATTGCAGCTCCTGATGACCACTTGTGCCCAAGCAGAACTCCATTCTGTAAGGTTTTCAATGGCCACGTGTTTGAAAGGAGACTGCCAGGGCTTTCCTCTGAGGTATCTGTGGACAAACTCGAACCTCCAACCTTTTGGTGATCAGTCGAGTGTGTTCATTATTTCTATCACCCAGGGACTCCTTTTAGCTGGCTCCCACCACTGATATCAAGTTGGTTTCAACTCATAGCGACCCTGTATAGGGTTCTGAGGCTGTACGTCTTTACAGGAGCAGAAAGCCTCATCTTTCTCCCACAGAGTGGTTGGTGGGTTTGAACTACTGACTTTGTGGTTAGCAGTTCAGTGCTGGTTAATACATCCTAAAAAGAGTGATGAGGAGGAAGGGACTCTCTTTCCACATTATGCATTCATGGGAAATTTCAGCATGAACAAAAAGCATCCGTCTCTTGGCCCATCAGTGAAGGAGACCTGGCGATGTGGTGGTTAAAAGACTCAGCTGATAACCAAAAGGTCAGTGGTTCAAACCCACTAGCCACTCTGTAGAAGAAAGATGTGGCAGTCAGCTTCCATAAAGATTGGAAACACTATGGGGCTTGGAAAAGCAGAGGGTCATTGAAAAAGGAAGAGCCCCAACAAGATGGACTGACACAATGGCTGCAGCAATGGGTTCAGACATAACAACTGTGAGGATGGAGTAGGACTGGGCAGTGTTCCTTCTGTTGTATATAGAGTCTCTATGAGTCGGAGCCAACTCCACAGCACCTTAAAACAACAACATCCCGGTGTGATGTTGTAGGATAATCACTGGACTGCTATCCGCAAGGCTGGCAGTGCAAACTCACCAGCTATTCCTTGGAAGCCCTATTCAGGGTTGCTGTAAGTCAGAACTGACTCAACAGCACTTAACAACAGCAACAACTGTCCTACAGGGTCACAGTGGTTTTGGCTTTGGTTTGGCCCATCAGTAAGCTGCCCCAGAGGAAGAGAATTCCAGGGCCAAATAGCTTAACAAGTATAAAGGTTGCCTAGGGAAACTGCTGCCATCACTTGACCTTGGTGACAGGATGGAGCACAGGGCAGACTGTAGAGGTACATTGATGCTGGGGTACAGACGTTCTTTTGAGTATCAGAATTGGAGCCTTTTAATGAGTTTGGATTTTATTCGGAAAGGCAGTTAGTTGTCCTCTTTGACAGCAAGGCCACAGGGATTCGGTATAAGACACCGAGGTGGACCGATGAAACAGATCAATGCGAACAAATTCCCGTCAGTTCCAATCAAGGGTAAGAGATCAACAGGGCAACAAAAATGGGCTTTAGGTAAGTCAGATCTTTACTGAGCTGATTAATTCTGGGATAATCAAAATGTCAGAGGCTTCCGTTTTGGAAGATTCTATTAGGTTGGTTCTCAATCTCTGCAGCTAGTTCTAAGATCACTCTCTTCTTATCCCTGATAAGGATGCTTCCTATCCCTTTGTTTGTCTTTGTAGGAGCTCCTCCCCTCCCAAAAGCATCCACAGAAAAGAAATGACCAACATTGACTTGGAGTCCTGGTGCAGCACTGTAGGATAAGCACTTGATTGAAAGGTTGGTTTGAACCGCAAGGTCAGCGGTTCAAATTCACCAGCCGCTCCTTGGAAATCCTATACAGGGTTGCTAAGAGTTGGAGCTGCCTCGATGGCACTCAACAACAACAACATCATTGACTTGGAAGGCACATGAAAAAGCTTTTGTCAAAGGTTCAGGGCGATGGAACCCCCAGGGTGGAAATTTACTATTAAGAAATGCCAGAAGAGCCAGGCTGGGGGACTTTTCCAATCCACCTTTCATATTATGTTTGGGAGATCACGTTGGGAGATCACATCACCCCAAAAACTAATAATAAAAATAATCCTGATGATTATGGTATGTGAATGTGGGCACTTCAGTTGAGTGAGAAGGGAAATGGTTTTAATTACTTTAAATCACATTGATGAGCTGTGATGGCAATGATATGGGGAAAGGGTCTATACTGCACCTTGGGCTGTGTGGAAACTCTAATGTCCCCTTCCTTTGCTCCCCTAGCACCCACTCTCCTGCTATTGTTCCTCCTGGATGGTGGTCTAGCTCAGTCTCTGAAGTCAAATTGTTCAGGTCAGACACTGGCTCTGGATGATGTGATGCTTAACACGCTCAGCTACCAATCAAAACACTGGTAATTTGAGTCCGGCCAAAGGTACCTCAGAAGAAAGGCCAGTGGATCTGCTTCTAAAAAATCCTGCCTCTGAAAACCTGATGAAGCACAGTTCCACTCTGACACACACGGGCTTGCCAGGAGTTGGAATCAACTTGATGGCAACTGGTTAGGTTTGATTTAATCAATGACTTTGATCTTTCCGAATTTGACTGTGGGAAGTTATTTAATTCTGGGCCTTGGTATTATCACTTACAAAATGGGAATATTCAAGATATTCAAGGTGCCCCCGTCCTAAGGCTGTTGTGAGGATTGAAATGGCTCACAGGAAGTACTGAGCACAGGTTTGGCACATAATGAACCACTGCACAAATGCTTACTATGACCATGACTAAGAGGAGAGTATGCATCTAGCTCCAGACTCCAGTTTCTCCCCTACCTGTAATCCTGCCTATAGAAGGCTCTAATAATTTTTTTTGGTTATTTTTACTGCCCCCTCCTAAATTTTATGTATTTTGTTATTGTTGCTGATAAGAATCTACACAAAACACAACCATGTACAACTTAGTGACACTGAATACATTCCTCAATTCTTCAAGTTGTGCAAATCATTCTTGCTCTCCTTGTCTGAGGTTGTTTCTCCCTCATTAGCATAAACTCACTGCCCACTACGGTTGCTATCTAATCTTTTGAGTCACCGGGCCATCACTCTTATTGAGACATCAAAGCATTAAGATGACCAGTTGGTTCCTGCGTGTTGTTCTGCAATCTTTTGCTGATGGAAACACCATACTCCATGTTGATGAAACCACCTTTACAGAACATAAGGTGAATGAATACAAATGCCAATTTATAAAAGGTGCCTTTTAGCCACAGACACTAAATTAAATTTCCAGCAAATCCTTTTAGAGAGGGTCAGTGTTCATTTTCTATAAAATGTGGCTTTCTGAATTCAATATAAAAGCTTTCCTTTAGAAATCCCATTTATGACTTCCTTCCCCTCTCCTCTTCTCCCCTTCTCCACCACCACCAGCTTCCCCCTCCCCCCCCCCTGCTTTAATTACAGTGAAGGGGGATTAGTCAGCTCCAGTCTCCAGGGAGTTCTATACAGAGCCATCTCGGAAATTAAACTAAAGAGAAAATGGCAGCAGGCAGGGAGCAAAGAGAACATATGAGATTGATTGATTGATTTGAGCTCTTCAGATGAGTGTTCAGGACCATAGTGAAGAATGGTAACAGAATCAGGAGAGCAAAATCTTTCTGCCTTCTTCCCCCTCTTTGATACACTCCAAAAAACGCACCCAAGACCCAAGCCTTGCCCCCTCCCTCACGTACATGGAACCAGCCCCAGTTTCTGCTATTCCTGCTCCTAAACAGAAAATAACAAAAGTGAGAAGTACATTTTTTGGGCATGTTGTTGGAAGGGAACAGTCCCTGGAGAAGGACATCATGCTTGGTAAAGTAGAGGGTCAATAAAGTAATGATTGTGAAGATGACACAGATTGGGTATTATTTTGTTCTGTTGTACATGGAGTGACTATGAGTTAGCGATGATGACTTAATGGTACCTAACAACAACATACATCTGCTGATCTAAAGGTTGGAGGTTCACGTTCACCCAGATGAACTTTAAAAGAAAGTCCTAGTGAACAACTTCTGAAAAGTCAGTTGTTGAAAACACTATGGAACACAGTTCTACTCTGACAAACATGAGGACGCCATGAGTCAGAACTGACTCAGTAGAAACTGTGTTCTGTTCTTTTCTTTACTAAATCATGGTGGAGAGGCCCCCCAAGAGTTGGACTGTTGATTTCTGCCCTGAGTCAATTTTCTTGGGTTCAGCCCACCTGCCTAACTGCCTAAGGTGATGGAGTCCTAGCACCATGAAACCCACTTTCAGCATCTTTCCCAGGAGCCCTGGGCCACACTCCCCTCTAGCTGATCTGTGGTCTTTGAAGATCAAATGTGTTTACTTCAAAGTCTCATTACTCTACCATCCCAGGTTAAGGGGGAAGGCAAATGGCAGATTTTCTTGGCAGAATTATGAATATGAACATGAAGGACCAAAGGAAAATGTTGGGAAACAAAGCTGGAAGTTGGGCTAGGATTGTTACAAATCTTTATACTAGTGATTATTTATTGAATGTATCCCAGGTGCTTTACATGTTCGTGCACTTCCTACTCAACACAACTTTGAGGTAAGCATGAAATCACTGGATACATAACTTGCATGTTTCAATTGCCAATCAGTGGTACGGCTCACACTGAAACTCAGTTCTGCTTGACTCCAAACTCTGCGTCTTTCTGAGGGTGCATGAGAGTGTTTTCTCATAAACTGCTTCACTGGGCTTTCCTTCATTCTCAACTGGAAATCAAAAGAGTCCATGGGTGGAGGAAACAAGTAAGCACTGAGCTACTAAATGAAAGGTTGGTGGTTCAAATCCACCCAGAAGTGCCTCGGAAGAAAGGCCTGGTGATCAGAAAAACCAGTCACTAAAAACCTCATGGAGTACAGTTCTGTTCTAACACACATGGGTACCATGAGTCACAGCCAACATGAGGGGAACTGGTTTGGTGAACTGTGACTCAATGCCAGGGCTCTGAACTGCATGAACATCCGAACCACCTGGAGTGCCAATGAAAACACACTGTGGACAAGACCCCTTGAGGTTCTGATACAATGGGTCAGGGGTGGGGCCTGAACATTTGCTATAGTTTCAGGCACCATTTCGGTAATCACTACTCTAAGGATTCAAATATTGGATTTCATATTTGTTGGGGGCCATTAATAAGCTGGTTGCTTGACATATTCCATGCAGATTTCTGGATTGTTTTGTTGTTAAGTGTCACTGAATTGATTCTGACTCATAGAGACCCAGTATAAGATTTCCAAGGAGCAACTGGACTGCTAACTGCAAGGTCGAACCACTGACCTTGCAGTTAGCAGTCCAGTGCTTATCCTTCAGCACCACACTACGACTCCATATTTCTGGATGATGTGGTAAAAAGAAATATAATAGTCTCATTTCTTGTGTACTCCTTACCAGGTATTTTGTCTATTTAATCTCCTCTGATCCTCACCAACTTTCACAGGAGGAACAGAGGTCATTAGGAATTAAGTTGGCTGGGGTCGCAGACATACTAAAGGTGCTCAGCAGGGACTCACCACTTGGGGCCCTTTGTCTTGACTGAAAGCTCTTGAGAACTGAGTCTCCCTACAACTGTGTGAAAATGCCACCAAGAGTCCACCCACAGAAGAAATGCTGCAAGTGGGAGCCACTTTGTAAAAGCCCTCAAAGTCCATTTACAGAGAAACTCAAAATGGGTCACAGGCTGAGGATGGAGGGTAATGCCCCAGGTAATAAGGCATGAGAAGTGCTCTAGGTATTGAGAACTCTGGGAGAAATGCTTCCAGAATACACATCCTGTAAAGCCTGGCCCCATCTGATTCACTCATGGAAAAAAAAAAGAGCCAAGTTGTTGCATCCTAATGTTAGAATACCATCCAGAGAGCTGGGGGTGGGGTGGGGTGGTGACGTGGTATGGTCTGTGTGTATGTTGACTGGGACTAGACAGGATGGAGAGAAGGAGAGACTAAGACATCCCCTCTTCTGCCATTCCCAGAGAGGAAAACAATGTTAATATTGACCTACCAACAACATGAAATTGCTAAGTCAATGGTGATTCATAAGTCATAGCTATATTCTGTGATCATGTAAAAAATACATTTTTCCATCTAGATGGAGAATGCCTGAAACAGTATATGAGGAATTTCCTCAGTGCCAAGGTGAAGAGCGGTGATGGTCTAACACATGCATAAAGGCGGTAAGAATCATGGATGGACCACGAGACCTTCCCCATCCCTCCTTGCTCACCAACACACCCTTTAGCTAACAGCAGAAGGAGGAGGCATTTGAATGTAGAATCAATTCCTAGCATGGTAGGTTTGATGAACAGCTTAGAGAGCTGCACATTGGGCTGGGGAGATGGGAGGAGGAAGATACAAGGGCTTTTACTTACAGGGTTCGAATCTTCGGCATGTGGTTGAAGCTGGTGACCAGGATGCGGCTGATGTTGTTGTTGTTGAGGGTACTGCAGAGAGAGATAGACGGGAGTAAAGGTCACCAGAGGAGCAGTGTGGTGGAGCAGGGGGACTCCATATCACTTGTAGAAGACAATGGGGGAGACAATTGTTATTGTTGCTATCAAATGCTGTTGCGTCCCAGCTGACCCATAGCAACCCTGTATAAATCTTTGCGGGATCAGAAAGCCTCATTTTGGTTCTGTGGAGTGGATGATGGGCTCAAACTACTTCCTTGTGGTTGGCACTCCAGTGCTCATCCTACAGAGTCATTGCACTCCCCGTTACGACTGCTTTGTTCTTAAGTCCTGTCAAGTTGGTTCTGACTCACAGTGACCCTACATAGCAGGGTCTTTTCTCTGCCAAAATTTCTAATAGCATTCGCAGGCCATACAAAATTATCAGTTTAAAAATTAGCCTGCTATATTTGGTCAAACATTTAATTAACTCACTCCTAATGTGATGGCTGGAATTGCAGTTGCCTTGGCAGGGCCAGACAAATTATTTCAAGGGTCTTATGTGGCCTGTGAGAAGCTCTGGTAGTGTAGTGGTTGTGAGCCGGGCTGCTAATCTTAAAGTCAGCCGTTCAAATATACCAGAGGGGCTGTGAATGAAAGATGAGGCTTTCTGGTCCCTTATACTTGGAGTCCTGGTATGGTGCTGTGGGTTCATGCACCAGACTGCAAAGCCGTTTGAAGTGCAAGATCACTGGTTCAAGCTTACCAGCTTCTCTTCAGAACATTACACTGGGTCGGGACTGACACGATGGTACTTACCATGTGGCCCGTGGGAATGAACGTTCCCCACCCCTGCTGTATAGGGTTTGAGAAGCAGCTAGTGGGTGTGAACTGACACCCTTGTGATTAGTAGTCCAGTGCTGATCCTACAGTGCCACACCAGGAGGCCAATAGGACTTGCTTAGAAGGGTCGTAAATCAACAACCAAGGGCCAATCAATGGGGCAGCTAGAGACAGGTGGGTCTGGCTGTCCTCTCAGTCCCTCCTTATCCATCCAGAGTCAAAATACCACTTTCCGAAATCCCCCAGTGTGCTGGTACCTCACTCTATGATCTCCAGCCCACACACCTGCAGTGCCAGTTAGGGATGTCCTCATTTTGGAGAGGAAACAGATGTGTACCATTTTGCATATTAGCCCACACTCGACAAGGTGATAATAGTGGTTAGCTGCTGTTGAGTGCCTAACTGTTTGCACCACTAATTTCCAGCTATTATAGATGAGTGGTGCAAGCAGTTTGCAATCAACTCCTAACCCAAAGGCTGGCGGTTTGAGCCTGTCTAGTGGCACCACAAAAGGAAGACTTAGCGATCTGCTTCCATAAAGGTGACAGCCAAGAAAACCCTATGGAGTAGTTCTACTCTGTCTACTTTGTCATGAATTCTGAGTTGATGGCAATGGTTTGGGTGTACCATTAAAGATGAGGATGCTGAGACACACAGAGAGAAAATAACTGTGGTCAGCTCTGGAATTTGAAGCCAGCACCAACTCTTTTATCTCCCTCTTCCCCATATTTCTTGTGCATCTATTGGGTGTCCTGGCATGACACTGCAGGATGAATACTAGACCACAAGGTCGGTGGTTCAAACCTCATCAGCCGCTCCTTGGAAGCCTTATACAGGGTTGCTATGGGTTGGAATCAACTAAAAAGGCACTTAACAACAACAACATTATGTGTCATCTATGATTTTAGGCATTTAGTATGACAGAGAAAAATGAACAGACCAAACTTAGGTTGCTTGGCTCTGCCTGTTGGGTAATTTTACTAATGTGCATAAGCAGACACCTGGCATTTTATGAAGTTGAACCTACTTATAGCTGTTTCACTTTGGGTGGAGTTATCCATCCTATCCTCCTTGACCCTGGGTGCCTTCAGAATATCTCCTTAAACACAGCACAAGAACCTGTCACTGTCATTAGACTAGGCTCTCCTGCCTTTGCAGGGAGTTTCTTGGGGAAAAAGACTATGCCTCTACTCCTCTGTATCAGATCAGGAATGCCTGGAGGGCAGAAATGGTGCCTTCATTTCCTTTTCTATCCACCCCAGAGTTTCACATGCCAACTTGGGAAAATCTAATTTAGGCTGTTCAATGACCATAGGTTAGCAATCTGAGCATCCTCCTCATCCCTCAAAGGCAAAGATAGGAAACCTTTGTGGATAAAGGGCTTGCTTCATACCACACCCAGCAACTCATCAGCAGGTGCAGTTCACAGTCCAGCCCTAATTTAGCTGACTACGAGAACACAGGGCAGTTACATACAGGGCTTGGGCAGTAACGATATCCGGCAGGGAGATGACTTATTAATGTCTTTCTACACTGATATTTAAATGTGAGCCATAATGAGAGCTATAAAACATTTACGATAATAGCAATTATCCCAGAACCAAGATGACTAAACACAGTATTCAGACTTTCATGATTTGCTGCTCAGAGATGGCCGGCACAGGGATGTCAGAGGGCTGCTAACCTCTTGGATGCTGCCCTCCATGGCAGCTATGGTTTTTGCTTCCCTGATAAACACACATTGATTTGATTTGTAGCCCAGACAGCTCTTGCCTGCTCAGGGAGCACTGTGGTTTGTTTGTTCCTTGTGCCCCAGTCTGGGTAGTTGGCATTCAATGGAGGCCTCATTCTCAGAACCCCAATACTGTAGAACAGTGTCAGTGAGCGCATGAACCTCGAAGGCAGAGAACCCTGGTTTTTCCACTTCTGGCCTCAGCAACCATGAGTAAGTTTTTCAAAAAAAGCTCATAAGTTTCCTCTTGGAGAGATTAATAGTACCAAGCTCATAGAGTATCAGTGGTGATTATATGAGATGATACTAGTAATTGTTAGCATTAACCAAGAGCCAGTTGTAGGTGAGAGTCCTGGGTGGTGCAAATCGTTACAAGTGCTCAGCTGCTAAGTGAAAGGTAGGAAGTTTGAGTCCACCCAGAGGCACCTAGGAAGAAATGCATGGTGATCTTGATGTTTTTAAGTGTCATCTAGTTGGTTCTGGCTCATAGAAACCCTGGTGGGTTTCAACAGTCAACTTGAGATTCTCAGTCCACTGCTAATCCTACAGTGTCACACCAGGAGGAATCCTGATGATCTACTTCTGGAAAATCAGTCACTGAAAACCCTATGGATCCTCAGACACACCCAGGGCTCCCATAATTAGAATCAACTTGATGGCAACTGGTTTAATTGTATGCCAGACTGGCATTGAGCTAAGTTCTATTTGGGCCATCTCATTTAATTCCTCCAGCCACTCTATGAGTCGAGACGTTTTGATATTATCTCCATTTCAAGGTGGTAGGCCAGAATTTGAATTCAAGTGAACCTGACTCTAGGGAGGATACCTGTATTAGTTTCTTATTGCTACAAATTACCATCTATTTCATGGCTTAGAACAGTATATATTATGTGTCTTTATGTCTGAAAATGGAGTCCTGGTGGCACAATGGTTGTTAGGTTGACTGGCTGCTAACCAAAAACCTGGTGGTTCAAACTCCCCCAGTGGATCTGATGGAGTAAAACTTGGTGATCTGTTCTCATATAGATTCAAGCCTAGGAAATCCTATGGGGACAGTTCTACTCTATCTTCTTAGAGGGTTTTATTGGAATTGACTCGATGGCATACAACAAGAGCAATGGCATGGTTTGGAAGTTAGGAGTCTAAAATGATCTATGAGACTATTTCTTTTGGAGGCTTTAGAAGGCAGACGGAATCCTTTGCCTTTTGCAGCATGTAGAGGTTGTCTGTGTTCCCTGACTTGTGGCTATTTTCTCAGATCACTCCACCTCTTGCTTTCGTGTTCCTATTTCCCACTGCTTCATTCAAATCTCCTACTTCCCTCATTTAGGAACTGTGATTACATTTAGAGCTCACCTGGATAATTCAGGCTACTCTCCCCACCTCAAGATACTTAATTACACCCGCAAAATCCTTTCCCTTCTAAAGTACATTCACAGATTCTGAGGACATAGTTTGTGGACATTTGGGGGGGACAATTCTGTCTACACAATACCCTTGAAAAAAAAAAAAAAAA